CGGCAGGCATCTTTAGCCTGGAGAGTATCCGATGATTCAACGACCTCGGTGTCTGAACCTTCAGCAATGCGATCGGGCGTGACGTATGCTAGCAATCCTAGTTTCTGCGAGCGTTCTAAAATTTCTTTTTCAAAACGTGATAGCTTGTTTTGCGCCCAGTATAGCTCTGTATCATCGGACTGACGGCATGCACTCGTACACTGGCTTGTACTCGCAACGTTTTCATCACGTCGATCCACTGACTCTTCGTCCTCAAATTTTACAGCACGCAAACTAACCAACGGTGCAGCGATAAAGAGCTAGTGGAACTGAAACTTCGTTTTTTACGATCGCTCGTACGAAGAGCAGAAAAAAAAAAAATCTTAGGCACGGTAGCGGAGAGCACGAGGAGTGAAACTCACGTGACTTCTGGTGAACCCACTTTTAGTGATGTAGGTCGAAGCCTCCCTTCTGACCGCCCCGACACCTTGCGGTACACTGTTACGTCACAGTGCACGGCGGGAACTTTGAATTGGGCCTCGTATTTCTTTTTTTTTTTTTATATAAAAAAAAAACTACGCAACTCTATAGTGAAATAATTTTTTTTGTAATGTCCTGATATGCCATTTCAACGCCTAGCATGAAAAAAAATTTTTTTTTTTTTTGCGTGTTAGAGGCCTTTTAAAGGGCAACTCCGCTCAATTCTGAAAAAATTAGGTTTACATGTGATTCAAATTCACAAAGCACGACTGAACAACTCTACGTCTTCGGATTCGCGAAATGTGGAATATTATTTGTGTAATCCTAATTTAAACATGAGCCGATACCGAAACCGAAACTTCGGTTTCGCCAGGCAACATTGGTCTCGTGGGGTCAGAGTCATGGCCGCGTCACGTCGAACCACGTGGTCTTGTGACGTTCGGGAGGGAGCGAGGGACAGGACACGCGACGCGGAAAGGTCGCTTCGCAAGGCGTGGACGGTGATGGCCCGGGGGAGAGGGGGAAGGGGAGAATACGAAAGACGAGAAGGAGAGTGGAGAAACAGAGCGATAAGCGCGCAGGGCAGCGCAATCTAGCGTGATCACGTGGAAGCCCGGTCAGCCAACACCGGGAGGGGAAACTCATGACATCATCGTTTAATTTCGCTCTGAGAAGTAAAAACAAACAAAACGTGAGAATGACGTAGTCATGCCTCTGACGTGGTGGTTCAACGTTGGCCGCTCCAACTACGTAGCATTGACTGCGCTGACGATTGCGCCTCATGTCGCACGCTATAGAGTTGGCAGATTTCGGCGACTTGGCTCACTTGAAGGTTTGTTGGCCAGTTTATTCAATATATAAACGGAATTAGATCGTAATATCTTACATGGGGTCTTCCTATGTGATACTAAAGAGGGCTACATAGTTTTCTAAATATAAAAAATGAAGCGGAGTTGCCCTTTAAAAGCACCTCTGTAACTCGTTACAATTACCTACACTGCGACACAAATTTGAAAATCACAAACACAGCAGTGGCCAACGCTGCCAGCGCCGATCCCGAAATCGAAACTATGTCGGTACCCGGTAATGGCGCTGACATATCCCATCAACCCCGGTTGTGACGTCCGTGAGAGCTATTTTCCTAACAAAAAGGGGTAAAACATATGCAGTTTATGAACTTAGTCATGGTCATGAAGTAATGCATCGTTCGCTACTTACGCTGTAGACTGAATATGATGGAGTTGGCTGCCAGCCGTCGTGTTTGATTTGATCGAGCCAGGACCGCCCCCTCTGGGAATTTGTTGGGAGACAGCTGAATAGCCACTGCCCCTTCCTAGAATGGTTTGAACAGTGTGGCACGCAACATCCAGGCATTTTGCCATATGATCACAGACACTGATCTCTGAGCTGAATGACTATTGCTGGATCGCGCTTCCCGCTCCCGCGAGTGAAGCCACCGAACGGCCATCTTGCTCGTAGAGGATTTGCGGTTTTGCTAGCGTAGAGGCTGGCGGCAGCATGCTGAAGACACGTTTTCTACTCGTTCGTCGTCATTCGTCGAAAAATTGTAAGACAATATGTAAGGGTTCAGACTTACCGTTGACAACTCGAGGAAATTTTTACGAAAGCGCAGTGCAGCGGGAAAAAGCCGAAAAAGTAAATAAAGATTTTGTACTGCTGATTTGATTGGCATAAGCGTCTAGTAAACAAAACAAAACAACGCGCCGCTGATGCCCCCCCCCCCCCCCCCCCCCCCCCCCCCCCCCCCCCTCTTCCGTCGCCACTTCGCCACTGGACGCTGGATCAAGCTCATTTCTGGACCGCAAGTACCGCTAGTTACAAACACAGTCAGAGTAAAAGTTAAACGCTGCCCAGAGGTACATACGACTTCACGCACATTGAACTCGCAAAACACATCCACACGGCGCCGAAACAAATCTTGATCGGTATTCAAGCGTGCAAAGGCACAGAGACGCAGCACTTCGGTGTGCCAAGGAAACTTTGAGCAGGCCGCGAGACCGGTGACACTTGCTTTCGACGAGTTGTACTTTTTGATACGGCTTCACGCACATTGCACTCGCAAAATGCATCTACACTTTGTCAATTCTTGATCGGTATCCAAACGTGCGAAGGCACAAAGACGCAGCACTTCGGCGTGCCAAGGAAGCATTACACCCGCCGCGAGACCGGCGAAACTTACTTTCGACGAGTTGTACCTTTTTCCTGTGGCACTGCGCTTTCTTAAAAGTTTCCACGTGTTCACAACAAGTCTCAACGGTTACACAGAGTCTTAAAAAACGTCTTCTGCGAATGACAACGAGTGAGTAAAAAACATGTCTAATCACGCTATAAAACCGCAGCAAAACGCTAGCAAAACCGCAAATCGTCTACAAATAAGATGGCCGTCCGGTGGCTTCACTCGCGCTCAGTGGCACAGGTTGTTGGATCGCGCAACCCCGCTTGTTCGCTGCAGCGCGAGTGCGGCGAGTGTATGAGCAATTCTTGTAAATTTCTCCCGCTAACCAGTACAACAATATTTCATGAAATGATGAACTATATACAGGGCAACACACTGGCAAGGTTTGAAGACCTTTGCTTTTATAGATACGGAGAAAAAAAAAAAAAAAACTTTAATCCAGAGCGTTATTGCGCGATGTGCCGTATTTGCGATTTTGTTTCTCAAAATAGCGACCCTAATACTCGGTGATTAATACTTTTTGTCAATTCTTCCTACGCCTAATTTGTCAGTAAATATTTCAAGACCCATAGCCAGGTCCGTTTTTTTTGGGGAAGCCGCCCGAAAAGCCAACATCGCGTGATACGTAAAACGCGCACGTGGTGCTTACAAATGTTTTTCGCAAAGACATTTTTTTTTTTTCAAAACAAGAATTGGTTTTATTTTTCTGGGTATGGAGCCAGCAAAATATTTTTTTGTATCAAATTTAAAAATGGTTACCGGACATGGTTGTTCGATCTTATCTGAAAACGTCCTATAGCGAATAAAATGAACAGTCCCATTTAAATCAAGCTTGTATATAGTTGTGTACGTCCTTCTTAGTTTATTCCTCATTTGATTTTTAGACACTCGTCAAAACTAGAGTTCCTTCATGTACACGCGTTTTTGCTTGTGTGGTGACATCTCCGCCATTTTTTCTACCTAATTGTTTTTGTGCGCGGCTTTTAGGCGCCCGTTTCCGGGTTGAGCGGCGTCGGCGTCACCGTCGGCGCCGGCGTAACCGCGCTAAATTTAGCGGGAAAATTGACGTAACGTGACCTCAACACCAATTCAATTCCCCGCTATATTCAGCGGGGAAAATCAGTCTCTCCTCTAGATTTAGCGGACAAATTCAGTTTGTCCGCTAGCCTTTTAGCTGTCGGCGCGTAGCCTTTGCTAATACTTAGACGCTATTTTACCGCATAAGTCACGCGCTGAATGCACCAACGATTTACGCGCTGCACTCAGTGCGACAAAGGATATCTTCACCCTGAGGCAGACAAAATGCAGGCACCCTAGCCAACACGTTCGTCGATGACCTCTTATTTCTTTTTGTTTTGTTGCATGCTTGCATTTTTTTAGGGTGCTAGGAGGAAGTCACGCCACACCGCAGAACAAACAGGAACAATTTATTTCTTAAATATCTTCTCTTATCCGGACGTGAAGAACACACAACATCACAAATTCGAGTTAGTCGCGCTTGTCGCAGCCACATTGCTGCGCAACCTGGTACATATTCATGCACGTCATCTCAGCTAGCTTTTGTGTATCGCTTTCTAACAATTCGCGGACGGTTGGTTCTTCCCATTTTTATTTTTAATACATATTTAAGATACAATATTAATACAGTGGTTATACAAAGTTGAATGTCGAGGTCACAGCGCCTAGGCTTACATCTCATCTCGCCGAGTGACCCTGGCAAGTGAGAACTTACGGGATGTTCGATGTTCAGTTAATCATCTTACATCATAGGCGGTAGTGAAGTAAAATATTTCTTTCGTTGGACCGAATTTCGGTGAACTGGCGTGTTTAGTCACAAGTCGAGCTGCTCTCGAAATCGGAACACCCAGAAGCTCATCCTAGTCGTGTTAAGATGTCTCACTGCGCTCAGTGTTCATCAATTTCAGCGTTTCCTCAAACGCAGCTTCTACTAAGACGAAGATAATTATGAATAAATATTAAATAAATACGTGAGCTCATGAACCGGTACATTTTTTTTTTCAAGTAGACAATAGCTAAAGAAAATGTTTATGCAGTCTAACTCACTCGGCTCCTTGCTAAATTGGCAGCTTCAAGTGGCCATGTTTCTAGGACAGTTTGATGTTTCCGGCTAACGAATGAAGTCTAAGGCAGAGAGTTCCATTCTAATAGAGTGGGCAGCGATTGGTTCAAAACAGCCATTGTAAATGTTGTTAACACGTTTCTTTCCTAGCTTGGTGTGAAATAAGCAAATCATTCTAAATTAAAACTAGACTATAAAGAGCCCCCCCCCCCCCCCCCCCCCTTTAAAAAAGAAAAAAAAGAAAAAAAGAAAACGACTTTTTTGGCAGAGCTTTATCCACAAAATGGCTGGCGAAGCCTCGAACCCAAGCTAGTCGCAGTTGTTTTCATGCATAGTAAAATCAACGGAGTCTGACCCCATGCCTTATACGTGTATTTCGTTCGAACGTTTCTTCACGTTGTTGCTCGCCGAGGTTTAGTGCCACAACGGGATGATTCAAAACGGCTGCCACTTAGAATGCCATCTTGTTTGTGAAGTTTCTCAGCGTGTGGTGATTCTGCAAAACGAAATCTAGAATTCAAACGTCGACAGCGGAGTAAGGAGAGAGGGAAGCGATGTCGCTTGAACTCGATACATAAATGACACCACCTAGAAACTTCTGTTCAAGTAAGAGCGGAATCCCACTCGGTGTAGTACTTCTAACCGACTTCAATCGCAAAGATGACATAAACAAGTTCTGACGACCCAGGCGTAGTCTAACGGTCATTCTTTTTGACATATGTGTTTGTTTTTCCAGCGCTGTAGAACAATATTGAGTTTTCTATTGTGATGAACAAGGCGTTTCTGTCATGTTTGCGGGTACGATTCGTTGATCATTCTCTTCATTCTGTAAGGTACTCCCGATTTTTTGGAAAACTGACTGGCTAACGTCTCATGGTAATATCTTGTTTACTAGGAATTTAGATGTCTGCTTTTAGGTAAATGGTTAATTAGTATTCGATTTTTGACTTCTTCTAAGTAATCGTCTATAAACGCAATGTCTAGATTTCTTGTGAAATATTCTGTCGGGGTGTGGGTTGAAAGTTGCACCAAACAGAAAGTACGTAGACTTGACTCTTACAAGCGATTCTGAAAGAAACTAGAGAATTCTTTGTTGCGTTCGCCGAACTTGAGCCAAAATTCAGGCTCAGAACACTGTAATTTGGTGGGCACCAATCAAATATGCTTTGATCATTACTATAAAATAATAATAGTACTAATAAAAAAGAAACCTCTCGATGAAGTGGCCAGAAGCACGTCGCCCGACGGTATTTAAGTAAATGAACTTACATAACTCTTTTCAAATGCCACAAGTAAAAAAAAAAATACAAACACGAATTCAGCCTTTCGAACATAGCGTTTTCGTTGCCTTTCCACAGCTTGTTGCGGCTTGAATTGTCCCGTAGTTACGCTTCATCGTTGCAGCTCTGTCGCGATGAGGTCGTGCGAGACGGCTTCTGCGGGCTTGGCTTCCCTCCTCTCCGTGGTGCTCGATTTCACGTTACGGCCAGACGCGCTCTTTTCTGGATCCGCGCCTTCTCACTCGGGCTTGTAGTTGCACTCGGCACAGTGTCTGGGGCCCAGGATCTTGCAGGCGAAGTGGTGCATCGTGTCGTGGCTCTCTGCGTGAACCACCATGGCGATGAGACGTGCGCTGAAAACGTTCGTTGTTCCAAGTGAAACCTCGCATCTAAAACAAAGATGGCACAGACGGAAACGAGGATCAGGGAGAGAGAGAGAGAGAGGAAGAGAGAGATGGGCAACATTTGTCTGGAAATTATGTTCCCGTGACGGTGCCAGGGAACACGTCTTGGACTGGTGTGTCCACCGTCCTATCCAGCTCACGCACGATCAAAAGTGGTCCCATTGTGAAAACAATTGACATCACAGAAGCCGGCGTGTCACGTTATCGGATGTCGCAATCCTGGCGGTTGGAGCTAGAAGCTCCGACAAAATGTACGAGCGAACGCGACTGTCGCTGTCCTCGCAGAGTTCCAACTCCTGCAGCTGCCGAAGCGTCCTTGGACGGTCAATCTGGAGGGCGACCTGCAGCATGACAGGCGTCTGTCGTATTCACCACCGCTGCTGTCATATCGCCAGGATCGCGGCCGGCGACAACGTGACACTTGTAAGACGTCGTCAGGCAGAAAATCGAGGGACCACTTTTTAGGACGCCGTATACGTCTCACAACGCTTCGATCAAAACTACTCACGTTTGTTCATCTTTGTTTCCCATGGCCGTTTGTAGTGGCCGGCATACGCCTTACTTCAGTCACGGGCATATTGCGAAAGGTAGAGCGTGGCCTATTATATCACGCATCTTGTCTTGTGATTCGTTGGCGTTCTTATCAACTATTGCCGTAATCTCATTTGGAGCGAAGCGATAAGAATACGCTGGAAACACGTCCTGCGCTTCTTAAGTTGTTGCTTACTATACATATTGCACACGTTCAATAAAGCGTCTTGAAGACAAAGGCGGACGTGCGTGGCGCTTCGGTAAGACAAACATATTAAATAAACTCACCGGCGAGAATGCTTCTCTGCTGGATCTGTTGATAATGTAGTGAGACTTCTGGAAAAGAGAAAGGAACAGGATCGTGTAAAACGTGATGATCACACGCGCACAGTGTTATGATCAAGTCAAAGTGAGCGTGAGTCACTAGAGGCATGCAACACTATTTTTTAACGATGGAAGGCTGAGCTACGTCATGTACGAGGTGTGAACAAAAAGCTCCGGGACTGAATTTCTAGCGTAAAAAGAGAAGGCAGCACAGTGATACGCGCGCAGAAAGGAAGGGACCTTCCTGTCTCGTTATACCAAAGGGCGTTGCTCTGAGAACATTTAGAGCTGCACTAATCGCGAGGTTTTATCACAACATGCACGGGCACAATTGCGATTTTACTATAGACAGCAAACCAGAGCGAGAGCGAACATCAATTCTGGGTCAAACTCGGCAAATATCAAACATAGACCTTTGGAATGATTCAGCAAACTTGTGTCAAAACAGCAGTGAATTTTGCCACGTGTTTTAAGTGGCACTCGCGCTTCGGGAACGGCAGAACATTGCTGGAAGACGAAGAGCGCGAGGGCGAGCTTATCCGACCTCTTTTTGAGTTCAGTGACGTTCTGCCATTCTTGAGGCGCGAGTGCCGTTCAAAACCACCTCGCACACCTCACTACATTTTGACATCAGCCTTCTACATCAATTCAAAGGTCTCCGTTTTAGATTTGCCGAGTTTGATGTTCGCTCTCGTTTTGGTTTGCAGTCTATAAAGAGATCGTCATTATGCTCGTGCATGTGTTCAAACAAACGTGTGTAGCGCAGTTCTATATATTCACAGGGCGACGCCCTTTGGCAAAATGCAGCAGGAAGATCCCTGCCTTTGACTGCTGCACGCGCATCACTGTGCTGCCCTCTTTTTTGACGTAACAAAATCAGTCCCGAAAATATTTTTTACCACACCTCGTAATTTGCTAGTGAAGACCAAAGTTGGTGCATGCGCTCCAAAGCTAGGTTTAAGGTTACACTGAACACTTTAGAATCCAGCTTTACGCTTTCTTGGCCTAAATTGTATCGTCGCGGTGACTGGTCAAATTGTCATTCAAACTAAGGACAGAGACACGAACCTTTTAGCTTTGCTTGGACCGCAAACCTGGCCTTCCGTTCTTGATCAAGCTCTTGGCACAAGGCATCTGGAAGCAGGGCAAGTACACAATTTTCCTTGAACGAAAGTAACATTGCTGAACTGTTCTGCTGACTGAGTAATTAAAACAATACCAAAATGGTGCTGCAACGATTGAGAAAGCATGAATGCACGGTGCCACAAATAACAGTAAAATTTGCTCGCATTAGGCCTTGCGACGAATCAAAGGGAAGTGGCTACACAGATGTTTAAACAGCGTGAAGATAGCCTGCCATCAAGCGAGGCGATGTGTCACTTCGCCGTAGAGTGACATTTTGGACAGTACAGAACGGCGTACAGCTTGTGAGGAGCAATAATTTTAAACGAAGTAGTGCAATTGGCTTATTCAGGAAAAAAAAAAGTGGCAAGTGCCCTTCTTTGATTATCGCTTACGCCGCATTCACGCTGGCGACTGAACCGCATCCGCAAAGCGGTTGCGAACGCGATTACTTAAATATGCAATAAAATTTTACATGTTGTTGATATGAAAACGAGCGGATCCGCTTCGCGGTTGCCATTCGAACGCCAGTGTGAATGTTGCCTTAGGGTGTGCGAGAACACGGGCATAACTTTGGCTTCATTGCCAAAAACAAAAAGTCATTTCCGAGCGTAAAGACGCTTTGCAGACGCGCCAGATTACATCCGCCATTGCTGACCTTCTCTTGTCTTACCGAGACACCCCAAAGGCCAATGTCAGGGAGAAGGATAGAGTGAAATCTAAAATGGCAACAACCTGGAATGCTATGGTAATGATGAAGTGAAGTAAACGGAATGCGAGGAAACAAAAAAAACACAAAAACAAAACAAAAAAAAAAAACAACAACTGAAGGTCCGTTATGATGGCGTCCATGTACAGCTGCTGCAGAGTGTCTATAGACGCTTTGCAGCAGCTGTGCATGGACGCCGCCATAACTGACCTTCAGATTTTGTTTCCTCTTATTTCGTTTATTTCACTTCATCATTACCATAGCAGGCCAGGTTATTGCCACATTAGATTCAACTGTGTCCTTTTCTAGAGCATCGGCTTTTGTAGAAGATCGTTAACTACCGTTTCAGTTGCTCGCATCTTGGTAAGACAAGAGAAGGTCAGCCATGGCGGCTGTAATTTGGCGCGTGTGTAAAACGTCTATACGCTTTTCCAATAGAAGAACCTGGATCCATTTGCTGGCGTTTTCCACGAGCATTTTCTGGCGGTCGCAGCTGCGAGCGCGCGCGGGGTGGGCTGTGATCGTGCTCTCTGTTATTTCTGCAACCGGTAAAATCGTCTGTAGTGTCACGCGCGCACGCCTTCCGCAGTTTGTAAACCTGGTGTTCCTAGCTCGTGACGCCACGCGACTACCAGCCAAAGTTGCAGTGTAGGTACAGTGTACTAGAATACTTGGGTAGTGTTGGGACCGAAGGGGCTTGCCTGAAGCGCGTGGTATTGATCGCGACAGGTGTCGCGTCCGGCGCCTTATCCGGAAGGTGTGCGCATGCGCGGCTGCACGCGCGAAAATATGAATCTTTGGTGCCGCTTTGGTGGAATGCACATAGGATTTCTGATACAGCTACGACCTGCCAGCGGTCGTACCGCGGCATCAATTACGCTGCGGCACGATCGTTAGCAACATTATGCTTCAATGTATTGGACGGTACAAGCTACATTACCCTTCCTTTACATAAAAACAATTACGACTTTAAAGAAGTGGTTTCGGTTTGTCGGATGGTGAGCATTTTAAATGAAATGCCCATTTCCTTGGTCGCAAATGCCGAACATTAGATATTTGAAAGGGATATCTAAAACTCGGAAGCAGTTTTTTTTTTTTTCCTTTCTTATTTTATAACAGAACGAAACGGCACATACTAAAGTTCGAGATTGTTTTAGTATGTTTTTAATACCCCAGGTTAACTTCTCTGTCTTCTTTTCTGCCCTTCTTCTTTTTCTTGACCTTAATCAGCTCGCTTCACTTGTCACTCCTTCTTGTGTCCATTTATGCGACGAGCCACCCAAGCGACGGTCGCAAAGGGGTGAGAATCTTCTATTTCTTCGTGGCTGCCACGACCATCCGAAAATCACCCGACGTTCACTTGTAAGAAATGGCTTATAAGCCGTGACAATTTTTATCACGCGTTTTAACATTTAACTTAAGTCCAAAAACTGAGACAATGTGGGCTGAACAAGTAATGCTTTATAAGATTCAAAGAAAACAAGAAACTATTTCACATAATTTTGAGCAGAAAACATGAGCACACGTAGATCAGGCAAGGAAAAAGTTGTAATAGTTTACAGCACGGCATTGAAATAATGGCTACAATGTACAGCGCATACATGGTTACAATATGCAGCGCATTATCCTCTTGAGGGTAAACCATCTGAAACCTACACGCTCACAACAATACATTTAACCGACAGCTGCTTTCTGACAACCAGGTAAGTCTCGCCTGAGCTGGGTATTCGAAGGGAAAGACCCATGGTTCCACGGGGGGCGTATCTGGTTCACGCAGACATTCAGGGTGTTTTTGTTTTATTCTTTACAGAACTTTACATATTTTACAAAAAAAGGATGTGGCAGATATGTGGATGCCGCCTTTCGTTATATCTGTAGGGCTCGGTGGACAATGAATGGGTGAATAACCGTTGCAATGTTTAATAATGAACCAAGATCTGTTAGTTAACTTGTTTATAACCGGCTTAATTGGCCATGGTGCAACTGCAGTTTTAAAAGGAGTCATTATTAAAGGCAAACACAATTTCGACAATTCGCGAAAAGGCCAACGAGGTTCGCAAAATTAATCGTAAAAGTTTTTCTTTCTTCGCTTGATTCAAAAACCGCGTTATGAAAATAATACGTAGAATAGTAACTTAGTCGTCTTGATGTGTGGCGCCGGCGAGTCCACCGAAGAAACGCTGTCGAGTTAGTGACGAGGGGACAGAAACAACTGCGTCATTCTTCTACGCATCAATATCAGCACAACCTCATTCGCGCTTTCAGCGCGCAGTTTTTTTAATTAAGTGAAGAAAGGCAAAATTTTAGCGATGAATATCTCAGGACAGAACGAGCGGGTTGGTAGAGATAATTAAGCTTGAGGAAGAAACGAAAATGGACGGACAAACACAGCAAAAACGAACGCCTCGTTACTTTCGCTCAAAGCTCGTTGTTTGTTCGCGAACTTTTTTAAATTAGGTTGGCCTTTAATGATGGCTCCCTTTAAAGCTGCAATTGCAACATGACCTATCAAACATTTCATTAACCCTTTGCCTACCTCAAAAATTAAAAAAAAAAAAAAGATTTGAAAATACCGATTTTTTTTACGTGCCTTATAGCCTGTTTCACCTTGTGTTGTACCGCAGGAAAGGCTACAAGCCCGAGCTCCTTGCTCTAGGGCACATCTTGGCGGCACGAGCTCCCGTGCACCAAGGGCAGCTGCCAACGCTATGAGCTCGCGCTCCTAGCTTTCGCTACATGCACCGCTCAAAAAGAAAAAAGAAAAAAAAGAAAAAAAAAAAGGCGGGCTGCGCGAGCCGGATAACTCGACTACAGCGCCGCCCCGAACTGTCAATACACGCGCCCTCACGAGCTCCCGTTGCCGAGCCGCTCCGGTCCCAACACTACCCAAGTATTCTAGTACACTGTAGTGTAGGAGCTGTACAGATTCCCCGAAAGAAGTAACGAAGTGCTCTGTAGTAGTATGCGTTGTTTTGTTGTTTTTTGGGGGGAGGGGGGAGGGGGGAACCGACGGTTGTTGGGGCGTAATTAGACGGCATGTCACAGTCGGATGCTCTTACGAATACACACAATTAAAGCACACCAAGCTGCTCTTGGAAATATTCACGGTGCTACTCCTTCCTGTATTACGAACGCACCGAAAGGTACCCAGTGGTTACCGTGTCACTGTACCATGTAAAAAATTAAGGTTTGCCCAGCACTTTACATCGGTTGCATTAATACTAATCAAAACGATAGGAGTGAGAGAGTTACCGTGACAATCTTACTCTGTATGCCGCTTGGCCGCCAGCTTAAGAACTAGGAGGGTCTTTCACATCGCTTGCGGCCCACCGGTTACATATAGACTGTTCTGGCGATTACGTCACCTCGGTCGTTTCAATGTCAGTGCATTCAACCGACGGCCATGTATAAGCCAGTCATTAGATTTAACATTGTTAGGCAGGTTCGCATAATTGCGACTGCTTCGGACCGGAGAGGCTTAAAACCTGTTTTTTTAAGCAAAGCAGCCTGTACACACTGTGTAAGTACAACAGTATCAGCCTGAGTATAGCTAATTAAAAAGCTAAAAGGTGGTTGCAAAAAAGGCTACATTAAAGGCGCTTGAACATATTTGCTTTAGCTTTGTTTTATTTGTTTGCAACTTTGCTTAAGTGGTTATTAATAGGAAGTGCTAGCAAAGTTGTTTTTGCAGGCCAAATACGAAGGCGCGCACTTCAAAGCAAGCTTAAAAATGGAATCAAGAACTCCCAATACCAATATTGCCCTACGAAAATGTGGTATGATAAACTCTCCAATACATCAGAAGCAAATATATAGGTCTTTAAGGTTTGTCTAACATCATACTATGTCTGAACAACGATGCTGTATTTTGCAGGATGTTAAAAACATAATCAGTAAAACCCCCGACACTAAAAAAAAAAAAAAAGAAATGTTACCTTGTGTTTGTTTTATGAGAACAATATTAAAAGACGTAAATCAGTCACTTGCATTTTTTAATCGGTGTTTAAAGGGATACTGAACCGAAATTTCGAACTTACAAAACAAGGCTGGACAGATAGGCGGGACGATGCAAAACCCAAAAACATCACTCATACAGCGATATCTCTAACGGATCGCCATATTTTTAGAAAAGAAGCGCCCGACTAAACCCGGCCGACGAGGCCGTCAAGGCAAGGCACGTCACGATTCTTATTCCCTCTCCTCCTCACTACGTCCCGTGTCGAGCTGGTGAACCGAAGCGAGGAGGAGAGAAGCGAGGCCGCTCCCCCTCATTCTCAAATTCTCCCGGAGGACAGTGATGTCAAAGGCCTCGCTTGATCGCGCCCTTCTTTTCGAAAAGTGCGGCCATCCGTTTGAGATATCGATGTACGAGCAATGTTTCGGAGTTCGTAGAGTCCCGTTCAACGCTTCTAGAGCCTTATTTTGCGAAATTCAAATTTCGATTCAGTATCCCTTTAAGTTAAATTCCTCTACGGCGCGATTTATGCTGAAGATTTCAGATTATAATTTACACTACCTCCACAAAATTGTATCTTTCGTACATGAAGACGTCAGAAGTCACATTTGAAAAACATTGATGTGTACAAAAAGTTTAACATATTTTGATGTAAGAGCAGATCATTCATACCTCGAACAACCTGCAGCTGCTTGGCGAGCTCTTCGCGGTACGCGATTTCTTTCTGCACTTGCTCTTCGAACGTTTCTGTAAGTACAAGAAAGGATTTGTTTTCTTGGATTCGCGCAATTCAAACTAGAGGTCATAATAAAACTAGAAAAAATCGAAGTTCTGCGATTACAAAATCTAGACAACGTTTTTTTTTTTGTTTAGTTTTTTTATGGTTGCGAGATAAAACATTTGTAAGTTAGAAAAAAACTATAGTAAGTTAGAAACGATAATTTATACCATAATATATTATGAAAAATATGTATGCATATAACAATCTCTAAAATGCATCCCAAAAAGGTGCATAGGCCGTAAAATACAAAACTAAAAACACGAAGGAGTGAAAAGAGGAAAAAAATTTCGCATTGTCGTTTTCGTTGTATGTTTTGCTTAGAGGAGTTTATGGCAGGCAGCAAACGTACCAGCCAAAACACGAGGATAAATAATTTGGAATCTACCGAGCATTGCTTCGTAGTTTCGAGCCTACGGAACTTTTACATTTATGTGTCATTCGCGTTCTTGTTTATTTTCTTTGTTGTTGTTGTTTTGATTGACACCGATATTCGCACTAACCTGGGACAGTACCCTGTCACCAGTGATCACGGTTGAGCAATTCAATAGGAGATAGCGGCCCGGAAACACGCACCAGGGACCGTTGCTCGAGGACGACTCTCAATGTGTTTGTCCGACAGATTGGCGTGCCAGTCTACGGCGCAGAGCGCGTCTCTATTTGACATGTGGGCGGAACGCGCCGTTCATATCTCTGCCGCCGCAAACGGGGCGTCGCACGAAAGGTGATCTTGCGTTGACCATGTCGCTTTCCCATATGCGTAAAAGATTACGCTCCCCGTACAGCGCGCATACACGCAGGCGTTTCCTCCTAATTAAATGTAATATATAGACATATATTGTAGTAAATGTGAGACGTGTTTCCTAAAGCAAAGTGCGTCCAGCAAGTTTGCTAACTGTTTATCGATGAGAGATGAGCGTCTGATTATCACGAGGGTGCATCAACCGAATGCTCCGATTTCGCAGTCCCGTAATAAGGCAAATCGATTGTTTCGAACTTTGTTCAATTTGAAAGGAGACTGCGAACACCGCCTTATATCGCAAAAACAATTTTTGTATTTTTTTTATTCTTAGCAAGTAGACGACATTTTTTTTAGGAAGTAAACTGCTAAAACAATAATCTAATTATGAATTATTTTCAATCAAGAAATCATAAAATCACGTTTTTGTCCCTTAGAGTTAGACCAGTTGAAACTTCAAAGCATTTGGCTGTCGAATGCCGATGTACAAATTTAATATACTTCAATACGTACGCTCATAATAGCAGGCAATTTAAATTGAAAATTACACCTGTGTTAATGCCGTGTGTCTATCTCATAGCAACTTCGATCGCATTTGTTTGCCAAAGCAAGACAATAATTCCATGCGTCAGCGAATATACGGAGCGAAGTATAGTTAGAGTGTTCAAAAATAAAGGCACTGTTCCGAATACCGATTGTTTGCTGGGGCTTTTGGTGTGGTCGTGTTACATACGAACCGACAATGAAGGCACCTTCCAAGCCGGCTTACAAACAGTCGTTTTCTATAAAATATCTCAGTTTCATTCTTTCATCGGAATCTTAGAAGATTATCAGCCCTTACTTTTTTTTTATTACACTCAAGACTAACTTGACGTCACGGTGACTTCATATTGTTTAGCCACCATGTAAAATTAGATGGGAAATAAAGCACCGCAAACAAAATATAAATCAATGAATCAATCTATCCATGCTTTATTCTGAGACAAACAGCTGCCATGGAATAGGGTTACACTTGTGCGAAGTGAAAGACAGATTGGACAAAATATCTTTACATACTATAAAGAAAGGATGAGTATTACACTTTTCTTGAAATTGGCAAAGGTAGAAAAAAGCTGAAGGTCAGGGTTAAGAAACTTGTCATATGTGAGCTGCATCCATGTCAACGAAGGATTCAACACCAAATAAGAATGGTGGAAAAAAAGCCATAGATCTAGTTTGTCGCTGGGAAACATGAATTAATATTTCACTCAGTAACAGGGAGGGGGGGGGGGGCAGGGATCAATAATAGCGTTCAGCAATTGATATAAATACAGCATATCGCGAACTAGTGGTGTTTCCGAAGAGGTGAAGGACCAAGAGTATTCACAATGCAAACATACCTAGTCGTAGAAGGCTCTCCGCCCAATATGGCAATCATATAAAATTCTTACGAACCGTCGCTGCATGCACACTAACCTTAGCGTTTTACCGAAGCGTAGAGAATTCCACACAGAAGAAGAAAAGTTCAACCTCGATAAAACTAACGACCGAAAGAGGTGCAAATGTAGGTGTAACTGTAGAACTTCCAGGTAATGCGTTAAATTATGCCTAAAATGCGCAATGAATAATTAATAATTTTAGAGACATGAAAATTAAAATTTAGACCCGTTAGATATACATAATACTACGAAAACTTAGGGGCTCGTAATAATGTCAAAGAGAAACGTGGTATGGGCTTTGGTATGATAAAAAGTTGTTTAATTAGAACGTCGATTTCAACCAGGTATGTTCAGAAACCTCGAAACTTTTCGTACCTCTCATCAGGTGAAACTCTCGTTCTGCTTTCTTCCTTCCTTCGGCCTCCTTGAGCAAGACATCTCGGAGCTCGTCTGTACGCAGGGACAGAACAACTGGGCTAAACAACTGGTCAACTGACCTAAAACTGAGGGTTAATTTGTTTTTTTCACCACATATTTTTTAAATTACGCAGCTCTTGGCTCAGCCGAAAAATTCTTTCAAACTGCAATGTATCTCATCACCAAACACCTAAGCTATTTTAGATAGCGTTAGTATTTACTATTTTAGATTGCTTATGCGTCTTTGAAAACGCACGATTTAATTTTAGGTTTTTATTCTTTTTTTATTTATCAAGCATATTTTTAGACAGGTATGATATAAATAGGTGTACTTTTTTTTATCAGATATACGGCCTCGGCTGAGTGAATTACAAACTACAAAAAATGTCTGAACAATTTCGTCGAGACAAAAACCGGGTGTTTTTTTTTTATTTCTTTCAAATAATGAAGAAAAAAAAAAGTCGCATAAGATCAAGTCTAGGGTTTGTGAATTCCGCTATCTTTACACTTTATAGAAATATTGCATAGGGCCCTAAACAGGTGTAAACTTCTGACATGACGGTAGAACTTTATTCGTTCTATCGAATCATATGCTATTGTGACATAATACGAATCCACGGTTCAACATCCTGACCATTAAAAATCATGTAATGGCTTGTGGTTCTGCACAATATAGTTAAAAGTTCAGCTAGCTAAAAAAATGGTGCGTAATGTTTTTTTAACTGGAAACACAGCTTCTTAGCAAAGCTGAAAAAATTTGATTGACATCAGCGTGAATGAAGGCTTCTCTTTTTTTTTGTAGAATATATAGAATGCATAGTTATAAAGCGAGCAATGTTATACCGAACTACTTCTATAAAGTATTGTGGCTAGCATTTTTCACCAAACGTTCAAGGTGGTGAAACTTGGGATTTTTAACGCGATAGCGTTTAGGAGCTGGTGTTGCAGATAATCCGGCGTCGGTGTCGATGTCAGTGTCGGCGTCGGCATCGGTGTCGGCGTAGGCGGGACCAAAAATCCCATAATTCAATGCGCGCAGCCAGGTGTGTCACAGGTGGCTGCGTTGCATTATGGGATTTACTTGCTTGTTTGGCTTCCCGCCAAATTTAGCAAAATATTTTCCGCCAAACATAGCGCAAAATCTTTCGCTAAATTTACCGGGTCGATAGACTCATGACTTCACAGCCACGTGTGACGTCACGCGTCACGTAAAATGACGTCACACGTGATTCTACTGACTAGAGCACGCACACACGCTTGCACGACTTGGAAACGCAAGCGGGTTTATATGAGAAGCCTTTGCGAACGGGGCCCGATAACGCTATCCCGTTCTACCCTTGAAGGCGAAGCTTAAGCGTCCTTCAAGATTTTTTTTTTGGTAGGGGGTAGTTTCAGTTGGCTCATTTTAATTTATACCAGAATTTAATGCCGAACTTATATCTGACAAGAACAAACCAAAATATTTCACGATACTCCCTTTTCTTTCCCACCCTTTGCACCCTTCTCTTTATTTTCTCTGGTGAACGCTACGACAAGCTCAGATGTATATTCAAAGATTTTTGTCACAGTTTTATTCAGACAGGCAAAAGTCAACCGCTAAAACCAGTAGACTGATTTGACGTGTAGCGATTGTAATATCCTCTTCAAGCATTTCTTTTTTTTTTTTTCCTCCTTGTCTTTTTTGCTTCTCACTTTTTGGTGAGATATTTGCACTCGCTGAAAGAGGTTTAAATCTACCTAGATTTCTCCTTAGCGCTAACTGCCTCTTCGGTTCAGATACTATAAGGATGTAATAAAAAAGTGTCTCACCTTTACTGAGTGAAAATATATTTCGAGGATCTAAAACATCATCAGGACTACGCGTTTCTGAAAAAAAAAATAAATAAAAAGTTTAGTTTTATTTTCAGAGCCCGGGAGTTTGAGCAGTGAACGCGTGAAGCGGAGCTCTCGCAAAAGCTCCCGTCATGCTAGGGAAGCTCACCCGAAGGTGACGCAGTCGCTTTGACGGAATCACGTTTTCGGCACTCCTCCTTGATCAGCTGCACCACGGACGTGACCGTGTTCTCTGCGAAAGAAACACGAAAAGACACTCCGCTAAATGGCTATCATATCACATTCGAATGTAGGTCGAATCGATTCTTTTATTTTTATATGAAGCGCGCCATTTAGTAACTTGAAAATTGAGTATTGAATTTGAGATTTAGTATTGAAAATTAGTGCTGTGTCAGCGTTGGGCGAGGACTCCAATAGCTCGTGCCCAAAAAATAGTGAATTTGGGATTGTAAACAAGCTGTCTAATGGTGCAAAAAAAAAAAAGAAAAAAAGGAGAGCAGGGTGCGTTGTTAGAGCACTACAAAGAGAGTGCGTGATATATAGTATCGAATTTTTTTTGTGTTAGTTGGTTAGTCTACGATCAAATTACGACATATTGTTCGTGTGAACAAATATGGCATGAGCGTTAAAAGGATTATGAAGAATAAAGTACCTGGTTCAGTGACTGGTTTTGCCATCTCCTCTTCTTCATCCTCCTGAGACAACAACAAAAAGGGTAAGAGAATAATACACGTGACGCTGTATCACCTTCGTATTTCGCGTTACATCACTGTGGACATTTTGTAAGTCTTCTAAAAGATTTCCATTTATTGTGCTCTCTGGGGCATTCATTTCTGTTCAACTCGGAAAATTTGAACTTCTTGGGAAGCGACGTCGTAACAGCCAACATCTGAATTAAAAAAAAATAGTTAGCTTTATTATAACGAAGAAACTTAATATTTTTATACTCATCAGTGTGTCAACGCACCCCAGTCCGCGTGGTATGTTTCTTTATCTCAGCTTATTCAACATTTGACCGCTCGGAGGTGTATCTCCTGGACGGAGCTTGCTCATTTCAGCTTACATTAGAGGTGGCAAAACGGGAATGATTGGATCATCATCGCGTTCCGCCACACCTAGCTTTGCGCCTGCTGCAAGAGTAGTAAATTTAATGGAGCCCCCGAGTTTTCCACGAGCTTCAAGTCGTTCTAAAATGAGTTGATTTAGTGGTTTTCGATGACGCTCAGTAAGTTTCTAATTGGAACCATATTTCGATATTTACTAATGACAAAGTTAATTAACGAACATTAATTAATTAGCTGACTTATCGCAAAGATTAGCCACCCACATAATGCCCCACTGGCCGCATAACTCACCAGCACAAACGGCATAAATGTAACTTTCACGGCTTTTTGTAAACAAATCTGTAAAGCTAAAAAAAAAAAAAACAAAAAAACACACACTCTGCATATTACTATGTCTATGCAACACATGCATAAAGCTAATGATGCTTTCGGATACTTTTCTTTAAATAGTGCATGTGCACGAGTGCGTGCGCGCGCCTTTGTGTGTGGCTGCGTGTTTTGTTTAGATGCTTTTGATAGGGTGCGCTACAGCTTTTAACTATCCAGAAACCGAGCACATTCATCAGGCTCGCCCGCTTTAACCGTCCATCGCCTAAAATAGAATTTAAATTTATGCGAATAAACTGGCGCATTCGCGAATCATTTACGGTACACTCAATAGCGGAAAATAACTTTCAAGTTTTGAATTTTCAGAAGACTAGTGACTTTAAAAAGGAATCTAAAAGCGTAAGCACAAGCTCGGGGCTTTTCAATGAATAAGACTCTATGTAATGTCTCGTGGTGGCACTATATGAGCTGCCTTACCTACAGAAATGTTTTCATAAAAAAAAATACAATTTCTTTAGAGATATGGAGCAAATAAATAATCTCAGTATAAAGCCGAATCAAAAGGAGACACGCCGAGTTACGCTGAGTCGCCGCACATTGATGGAAGTATATTTCTAGACGATATCGTCAAGTACTAACGGTGCCTATTTATTTCATTCGCTCAGCTTGGTATCTTGCTAAAATAACCCGTGAATGTATAGCGTCGAAAATTTTCCTACAGACATCGGTTGAGCCTGAGGCGCTCTGAAGAGATATTTAAATTTGCGGCTTTTCACAGATACGCGCGTGCGATGAATGATGGCTTCTTTATACCTCTTCACGACTACATATTTTTTATTCGTTTGCACACCCAGAACCTTCGATGAAATATTAAAAAGAAATGCAGATGGAATATTAAAATATACAGTTTACCTGCTTGTGAAGCGGAAAGCTGATCCTCCGATAACTTTAAAAGGAAAAGCGAGGATGCGAGGGCGCCTTACGATGAAAAACGCGGTTCTTATAGCCCGAGGCGGTTGGCTTTGCCACACTCAAACCATATGCGCTGTGGAGTATCCTTCGCAGAATACGCATAGATTTGCGTTCGGTAACGTTTATTTAATTTATTTATTTTTGTTTTGCGTTTGTTTTTAAAGGCGCGTGGACATTTTAAGTAAAAAAAAAAAGCGAAGGGTACGCATAAGTTAACTTCAGCTTACAAAATTACAAGACAGTTTTTGATAAACCTTCCTTCTTAAAACACGGAATGTTTTATCAGCCGATTGTTAAAAAGTTATGTAACGTTCGGGTAGAACAGGCGACTGTAGCGGACGGCTGTAACAAAACAAACACCACCGAAAAACGTCACGCTTATAGGGAACCATATTGGAAGACTCGAGTCCCCCAGTAGGATTTGAATTCACCAACTTCATATTGCGAGCCAAGTGCTTTGCCGACTGAACAATCTAGGGCCGGTAGTCGCAGCATGCAAGAGCGAAATTGTTCGCGGGGCGCGTGAAGGCGCGGTCGCAAGGTTTCGCGGCGGCGCCATCTCACGGCGTGTGTCAGAAATGAGAGCGAATCTTTGGTAGGCGGCACCGTTCAGACGCCCTTCTCTTCTAAGGCCTGTCACGCATTCTGTGCTCGTCAGTCTCTGTCAGCGTGATCAAGGTCGTATAATTTTTATGTCTTGTATTAAGGGGGGTCATGCCACTACAAGCACCCAAGTTGGATTATTCTTTATATTACATTTTCATAAACTACAATAATATATACACAGAAAGTTTCACTATCTTTAGGGCTTTAACATTTGTAAACGTAGTTTCGTCTGGGGTTCATTACTTGCATATTGTGACCGGACAGCTCTGACAGACCTTTGACGTCACAAGACCACGGTGACCCACCCTTTCGTCACTTCGTTGGAAAAGGGATACCTTTATAACGCACGAAACGTTAGGAGCTCGAGAGAAGAGATGCTCATGTACATGCTCCGAAAGAAACGAAGAGACACGAGGGCTGCTATATTCTGCGTCTCATTAGAGAATTTTAGGGAACTGTGTTTGCACATCCGATATGGTACGATGGGCCCTCCGGTACGGACTACGCATATCCGAGTCTTCTGCGATAGCGCATGCGCAGTTCGAACCGGAGGGCCCATCGTACCGTATCGAGTGTGCAAACACGGTTCCCTAAAACTCTCTATTAAGTCGGACCACAGCCAGCGCTACGATTCTGCGAAGCCAATCAAACAGCGCTAAAAGTGCACCGTCATGGAGCTAGTCGCTTTTGTGTAATTTCTATCACCGTCTCTAAACTAATCGCGCACAAAAACAAACGCAGGATCAAGCCGCATGCACTGTGCGTAAATTGTTTAACCATCGGTTGAGGGTGGGCTAACGACGTCACATATTTTTTGAAAAAAATTGTGCCATTTTGAATGGTCCGATCGGTGGGCCCTGCAATCGAATCAAATGTACTCGTAAAACTAACGCAGTGATTACAAAACAAATTTAGTAAATGTTATAAAAAACAAAAACAACATCATGTAATGGGTTCTGTGGTCCAGTTACATGCAATTTGTTTCGTGTGTGACACAATCTCTTTACGTCGCGCGAATTCAGAACGCAACTTAACCGTGTTAGACGAATCATGTTCAAAACAAGTGGTACCTGTAAAACATGCGTATGTTTATACAGCCTAGAGTTTAGTCTGCCTCAACGGGCGACCTGTCTCCCAGCTATAGATGAGAAATTTAGCCAGTGCGGTACAACCGCTAGCCTGGGGTCCTTAACCTGCATCACTCTGTATGTACGACTGGAATTCATTATTAGTACATGACCATGTTACCGCTTACGACTTACTCGTTGATAAATTTAAAGAGATGAATAAAATATATGTCAAAAATGTAAAATTGAAGCAAAGAAAACACGAAAATGTCTGGATTTAGGAAGAGATTTTAGAACTATCCCATTTGAAAGACAGGTTATGGCATAGATGTAAACAAAATCCGGGTAATACCACTTCAAAAACCGAATATCGTGTGCTAAGAAATAAGTTAACTGCTAAAATTAGATTGGCCAAAAGAAATCATTATACTAGCAAATTTAGTTCTGCAAAAAACCCAAGGAAAACATGGGACCTCGTGAATGAGTTGATGGGCAGGAAAAGGAAAACTAACACTGACGATCCTATTAGAAAGAATTTTCCAGCATTGGATAACTACACGGAATTAGCCGGATCTTTCAACAGTTTCATTAGTACAGTACAAGCCCTAAGGCAAAAGATAGCGGTGCATGTAAATGATGAACCGGCTGACCAAACTGACTGCGTAAATTCAGCACATCTACCAGAAATAAATGAGTACGATATCATGAACATTATTAATTCAATGTCAATAGCGAAAGTGCCTGGAATAGACCAAATTCGCATTAGGGATTTGCGCTACAATTTTTCAAGTCTAAAGCTGGTCCTCCTCGCTATAACTAACGGATGCCTGACAACAGGAAAAATACCGGAAGGACTAAAATTGTCAATATTGAGACTGCTATACAAAAAGGGTAGTAAGAAAGAATTAGAAAACTATAGACCGATATCAATATTACCAACAATAGCTCACATTCTCGAAAAATGAGTACAAATATGTATGAATGGCTCCTGTGAGAGATTTTTGTTATTGAACGACGGGCAATACGGTTTCAGGCAACAAAGGAACACTATTTCGTTATGTGAAGTTTTCTCGCACTGTGTTAATGAAACGCTTGAAAATAATAAAGTAGCCCTTGCCTTGTTTTTGGACTTGTCCAAGGTATTTGATACAATTGATCACGCACTCCTCCTATCAAAACTCAATAAGCATGGTTTCAGGGGCCCGTTTCAGAAATTCTTCACTGACTACTTTACAAACAGGTTTCAGAAGGTTAAAATTGGAAGCAGCACTAGTACAAAACTCAGAGTCAATTGCGGCGTGCCACAGGAGAGCACACTAGGTCCCTTATTGTTTAATATATATGTGAATGATCTAGGGTTATTACAGCTACGATCTAGAATGTTTCAGTACGCGGATGATACTGTTCTGTTACTACAGCATGACAACTATAACCAGGCGGTTCCGCTGCTTCAAAGCGATATAGATGTATTAGTTAACTGGTTCTCAAGTAAACGCATTTCTGTGAACGTCAATAAAACTAAATTAGTCTGTTTTCGTGATCCTAATGAACAAATTACTCTAGTACCAAACATATATCTTCACCTTCATGATCATGCTCAACACATTTGCACGTGTAGACCATTACCTTATGACTCCTCGGTTAAATATTTGGGGTTAA